TGTTGCAATGAGTGTTTACATGTTTACATGTTTACATTCTTTGTACAAGAATATCCCACAAAAACTTTTAGAAATGTTTCCGTCCGTTTAAAACTCGCTATGTTTTAGCTGTATGTATGTATGTATGTATGTATGTATGTATGTATGTATGCATGCATGCATACAAGCTGCAAAATCAAAAGCTGCATATTTATATTTGAATATATTGTTGGACAGATGTCAGAAATGTAAGTTTATTTTTCAAATGAACGATCGTTTGTCATATTTTTCATTTTCGTGCAATTTCGTGAAAAATATAGACTCGTCCTTATATCGAAGGTCAAATAAGCAAGTTAACACATAAGGTAGAACAAATTTCATAGTATACTAGTTTATTCTTTTCGACATAATATATTTAAATCAAATCTAACATGACTTTCCCAAACGATTGTTTGATTATGACATCAATAATGACACGAATAACATTTTTATTAGGAGAGGACCAATACGGTTATTTATCCTTTTTTATAAAAATGCACCAGAGTAACTGAATAATTAAAACATATCATGATCCCAGAAATACCAGTTTTGTTGTTGTTGCTGTTTTTATGTTGTTCTTTTTTTCGCATTTTATCCTGTAATATGTTTATACCGAGCAAAGGCCTTCGGACACAAGGGTACCACAACAGCTCATCTTGATCACGTTGTGCTCAGGTGGTGAGCTAAAAAAAAACTAAAAATAGTTCTCAAGTGCCCTCTCTGTCTATAAAAGTTTGCATAAAATCACATTGAAACAAAATAAATCCAAATCATAATAGGTCTCATAATGTGTATCCATTAAATTGTGCTCGGTATTAAAATAAATATATGAGTGATAACAACGTCAATATAGCGAATGACACGTACTGTAGCCAACCATTGATAATGTTCGTTATCACTCGCTCAGCCTCGCTTTCAGAATTTACTTAATATGTTTCTAACTATAACAGACGGCTTACATAATATTTATCATTTGTTCATTTTTTTTATGTAGGTTATCTATAATACTGCCGCACTAAAATAAATCTAGAAAATGGAAGATCTCTCGGAAGCAATGGTAACACCAATATTATATGAAAATTGCAGGCTCGGTTTGATTGAGTCTGTTCACAAAAGGTAACGTAAATATGCAACATCTCTCACATCCCCTAGCACAAAACGGACACGATAGGGCGCGGCCTATACTTTTTTCCAGGTAAATGGCAATTCATCAACTTTTCTACCTATAATGTCTAACAATTCCAAGAGCTTTTGTAACACAAAATTTAAGCCTAAATGCACCTGCAGTTAATAATTTTAGGGGGTACTAGTTTGCCCCCAGATCTCACTAAAACATATGACATACACGTGAATGTAAACCAGGCCACGCCTCTGTCTTATGTATTATTGTAAGTATTATTGCTTTAAATAATATGTAAGAAAGCATTGGTATCAAGACCACTCATTATCAATTAATTGAACAATTTATGACCGAGAACTAAATTAGACAATTAAACACATATGCTCATTAAGTCGATAAAATAGAAACTGTTAGAATTATTTGTAAATGCATATGGTATAGAATTATTTGCAAATGCATATGGTATTATGTATCCTCATGGATTCAGCAGGATACCTTGGTAACGACAATTGAGCAAACAGCATGATTATGAGGAAAAAAAACGGTATTAATTATGGTAAGGCGCTGAAGTGCCAGCCCAATAAAAACATATGAATTATGTTTAAAAATGAATTGAATGTAATAGATAACGTTATATGTCATACATTTTGGCCTCCCTTCTTATTTCGTGAAAACTCCTTATGACTATGAACAGATTCTATGACACTGATCGTGTTTTACCAATTGTGGCTTTGTTTACGTATCAATAATATAAAATTTTCTTCACAGACCGATAAAATGTCAGACATAACTGCTAAAGATGTAACTATCCGTCTGTATAGACCAGAAGATGTGAAGTATTTGATGGATTTTGCTGAAGAAGATGAATGGGATTAATCTATGTATGATCATTTTGCATATACAAGAATTGATCCGAAATACTTGATCGTTGCTGCCAAAGGCGATGTACCTGTAGGTAAGTACAACATTTCTTGCTTTGCAAGACGGAATAAAGTCTCAGTAAATAATCTATTAAATGAAAACAATTACTTCAAAATTGACATCTTTAATTAACTGTATAAGGTAGCAAGTCAAATCGGCCATAATTCAAATCGGCCCAAGTCAAATTGATCCAAAGGAATTTCTTATCGACACCAAAGAAAGTCAAATCGGCTTCTAAAGAAAGTCAACTCAACCTCGGAATTTTAGTTGTATATCGAGATGTGAGTAAAAATAGTTACACATTGTATTTGTAATAATAACTAAATTAAATGTAAATAAACAAGAATAAAGATCAACAAGGCAAAAGTTCACAGGACGCAGCCCCCAGACAAACCCAAGTAGGGCACCTAGAAATCACCAAACATGGGAAAATGGGAGAAGGGGGAGTGAGAAAATACCTACCGTCAACGACAATGCAACAAGACAGACATCACAAAACATGAAAACATCCAAAACAAGTAACAATACAGACATGAAAAACACGCGAAGGAACACAGAGGGGTACCGTCTTGGAACGGTACCATTGTGGCCAGCTTGGTTACTTAAATCAAAAATATTAAAATACCATCTTTATGAGAATTCAGCTGTTTACCTATTTGTCTCTTATATTTAAAAGATAATATAGACATGCCACAATACCAGATGTTACTGGTTGTTAAAGATTCAAGGTGCTCTGTACATTGCTTCGTGCACATAAAATCAAGTTGATGGTTGTCTATGTGTAAAAGAACCGATCCTTTCTGAAAATGGTACTCCAGAAAACTTGAAAAATGTTAATAATGAAGTGCCCTCCATGTCAAAGACTTCTATGGGATAATCTTAAGGAAGTATTGTTAAAAGATAATTAGAAACAATTACACGTACATGTAACTGACCTTGATATGCAATTAGTTTTCATTCCTACATGTACATGCAAAACTAAAAATATACATCCACTATTTTGCATACCAATATTTGTATTGCCAGGGTTTTGTGGAGTTTGGAGTTCTACTACGGCTGCTTTATCGTCCGTAAAGATCTTCGGAAACGAGGAAAAGGTTGGTTACTATTGAAAGCGATGTTAGAAAAGGCCGGAGATCAGAACATAGTTCTTGGTGCAGTCTCTGTGATGACAGACTGGTACATTGCTCACGGATTCCGTTATCAGACAAACAAGATTAAGCTTTTTACTGTTAAAAATTACAGGACCAATGAAGAAAGATATTCTGTCCAAATATGAAACAATTACCCGTACAGAAAGCACGTGGCCGGATTTAATTGCGTTCATTGAACGCCGCCTTTCCTTGTTGATCTTGTTTTTCATATTTAATGGAATATGACAGTCAAGTATACACTTACTTTGACCGTACACGACTATTACGTGCCTGGTTACAGGAGATGATGCTCGTGTCGCTGTTGCTATGGAAGCTGGGAAGATAGTAGGATATGGCAGCATTCACAGAAAACCAAACGGTGAATACGGACTGAGAAATATCTTTGGAGATAATGAAGATGTTATTGAAGCCCTTCTACATAATATGCTATCAGGGTTACCTGAGGGAACTGTTGTCTATTTCATGATGCCAGAAGACAAACCTTTACCAAAATATATTCAGCATAGTATTAACGATGTAGAAACAGCGACAAGAATGTATAATAAGTTCAAAATAGAAACAAACAATGACAAATTGTTGTTCACAACAGTGCATACTTTGTGATTAACATTTTACAAAATGAAAATGGGAAATAAGAACAACATTGTAACATCATTGATGGTATCCAATAAATTATAAAAGAATGTGTACAGGTTGTGCACAATATATTATTTGTTTTAAAATTGTTATAGTTATCATGACTTGAACATTAAGCAAAATCACCACTGACTATGTTTAGCTCCTTATGTCAAAGATTGAACATGTAACAAGTGTATCAAAAAATAACCGTACATTCGTCTTTGTAAGATATGACACATTTGTCAAGAATTTAAAAACCTATCAGAAAACGTTATGCCCAAAGATAGTGTCGGAATAACTTCATATCGACCCACGTCCGCCCAGTTCCTACTTACACCTCCCCTCCTGCAAATGTCGGTCAAAAATATTTGCATTTTATAACTTTCTTAATCATAGCAATGTATTTACAATTTAATTTCATCGCCCTTTCCTTTGAATAATTATTTTCCAAACGGAAGAATCGAAAATGTTCGAGTACATTCGATTGTCATTTGACCGGAAAACGGTATTAACAACAGATAGCATCAAAAATCAACAATCAAGATCGACCTTTAACTATTATCACAACAAAAACAATTTATGTCGAACAGTAAGTCTGTTTAAATATTCAATATATTGTCATGTAACTGAAGGCATTCCTTGAAAACCATCTTAAACCTGGTACAAATCTAAATGACAAGGGCATTGATTCGATTAGTTCAATATTGACACAAGTTTATACAAAACCTTTAAAAGGTAAAGGAAATATATGTCAGGCATGAAACAAAGTTCAGTTTTGTCACGGAGTTGACGCGGATACAAGATGTATTTCAATTTTTTAACATTACATTCATTATTCCTAAAATTGTTAGACAAACTGTAAATGGACACGGAAATTTAAGCTTTGTTTCCAGATTTTTTAAACATTATTTGGCCCTTACCTTAAGTGTGATATTTACCTTGAGATGGTGTATTGAAATAAGCAGATTATCTCATTTTGATAAACATCTGAATCATATTATCTTTTACGTGAAAAACAATTCACAAATAAAATATTAATAATTATCAGTTCATGGTAAGACTTATTTTAAAGGAATAGTGGCACATATTATATTGTTTGGACGGTTACCATTTGCAAATTGTGTATTGCAAGAATAAGAACGGAAAATCGACTAATTGAGTTTGTATATTTTATGAATATAAAACGGATGTACATGTTGTGAGATAAATACTTTAAAAGTAATAACATATTTCAAAAGGTTGTAAACTCATAAATACACATCACTTCATAATTTTTAAGCATCGATGAACATGTATCGTACAAGTTTATATTAATTTATCTTAAAAGACAAATGAAAAACGTTTGATTCACTTTGATGTGGTTAGACTAGTTGTTTGTTTTTTCTTGGCTCGATCAAGTAGACTAATTTATATTATTTGCAATGATACGCTTGTTGTTTCGAAAATAGTAAAGAAATCCGTTTAATTTATTTAATAAAAAATAAAGAAAGGGGAGATAACTCACTCGAAAACCTAAAATAGTTGAAACGGTGTTACTGAGTTTGTTTATAAGAGCTTATGGAAAGTGCAACATCTCTCATGACCCCTGGCACCGGCTTTTATATAAATATTCTGCAAAAGGGAGATAAGTCGAAGCAATGAAGACAAAAAAACAACAAATACATGTAGATGAATATTGAACACAGTCTCGGTTAGATTGACTCAGTGTTAATCTGTAAACTTGTTTTATCAACACAAAAATAGTAAAATATTATCAAGTTACGTGATAATTAATTCTCAAATACACGATAAACTGGCAATATGCATAAAATAATTACATCTAAAACATGAAATCATTTACAAAGTACATACGTTTTAAATCCGCTTCAACTAGGTGTTTGTTAAAAACTCTTTGCATCTGAAAACTGAATTTAAATTGAGAAAATCGTTCAGATAACTGTTTATCAGCCATTAACTGTATTGTCAGATTTGCACCGTTTGGAACAACTTTAAGCATTTGTTCAAGGATTTCTTCAACGACAAAGTCATCATCAGCAAATAAAGAAGCGATACTATATTTGTTTGTTTTAGCACATTTGATTAAACTTCCATAGCCTGTTGTTTGTCCGTCACAGAGAGATATAACACTTACCACATTTTCATCAAAAAGGCAAGCCCGAAGAATCCTTTCTCTATCCAAGCCTTTATAGACGCTCCTATCATACTCTAAAACTAATGGTAATTCATTATTGGATATTATCGCAATGTTACATGTTCCTTGTGCTTTAGATTTACTCCTGCAGTTATCATTCACTATCCCTTGAAAACAATTAAACTTGTATGATTTATAGATAAATCCTTTTTTACTATAGTGATCAACAAAATTATGGTCAAGATCCATGCACCCATTGCTGTCTGTTTGAAGAAGTACCATAGCTTTGTTGAATATTTTTCCAATACCTGAACCTCGATAATCTTTTCTTACGATAAAAGGTCCATTGTACGTGATTTCTGGCAAAATTCTACAGATTCCCATAAAACCTGAAATATCATACATGTATGTAGTATAGTATTCATAGTTGAATTTTAAGTGGCATAGATACGATACTATATATGATCATGTATATATTTCTTCGTGTCAACGTTGAAGGTTTCATTATAACCGAATTAATCTTAGATGTTTCTAAATGAAATATTTCATTATTCTCATGTTTAGATGTTGAATTCTGCTTTAGTAGGTTCATTATATGCAATACGACAAAAATATTTCCCGATAAGAAATTAGAAATGAATGAACCGTTGTGCCTTGAAATGCCATACGTTATAAGATTTTTTTACTGTATTTTACATAATTTGCTATTGTAGTTTAAAGTTCTTTTAAACGTTACAACTGCTTTTAGAACTTAATGTCTATCAAACATTAACCTACCAATGGGTATGTTACATTTGTTTGTCGCAACAGTCAGTGAGCAAGGGTCAAGATCAAGTAGAATATTGTACTCAAATTCAGAATACCACCAATTATACTCTTGGGTCATTTTAACTAGGTACTTGATGTCATCTTTCACAGCATAGCGGAAATTCATCTTCGTTCGTATATTGCTTTGCCTCCATAATTTCTGAGTTTACATGCATTATTTTATTTAGCAATATGCATTTTTTGTATAAAAAGATAAAAAAGATTTATTTAAAAACACATCATGTACTTGTCTAATATGATTAATGGTAATAAAATCTTGAATAATTTATGATCCCTCAGAAGCATAAATCACAACAAATAACATGAAAATTGCAAACACGGTTTGATTGAGTCTGTACATGAGAGAAAATGAAAAAGTACATCATCCCAACCCCACCACACCCTAGCACCGGCTTGTGCGGTTCTCAATTTTCAACACTTAAAAGTGTTAGAATCAGATATCTGGAAGTGCTATAAAAAATAAAAGAACACTGAAGCGAATCACAGGACAACTTTTACAGCTGCCACCAAGCACTTTACATCTGCTATAAAGAAGGTTGAGAAGTACAAAAATCTGGATAAAGTGTGATTCCTCGGAAGCATTAATCACAACAAAATTACATGAAAATTGCAGACTCTCTGTGGTAACACTATGTTTGTTTATTGTATACAGTTGTCATTTTCTATATTAAAGTGCTTTTATATAGGTATATTAGTGATGAAATTCATTCGACAATTAGTATATTTGATTTCATAAGAAAAAAATATGTCGAATAAAAGTTACTGATTGTTCTAAATTATTAAACTGAATAAGAAACATACATGTATAAAGCTATATCAATTACCGATAATAGTTGATCTGCTCGTAGTTCACCTGGTTGGCAAGGCATACTTGATGTTGGATGACTATCTCTGTCGGGTGTAGTCGAATAAGGTATTGAAGACACAGCTAAATAACATGATGACACGGAAGAAAAAGCATTCCCTCGGGCTTGTAATATCCAACTTAATGCGCCATACTTGGGAATTACTCTAAGCATGTTGAAAATGATAAAGCAGTTAGATAAGTTTAAACTGTCGCTGTTTTAAAATACATAAAACACGTACTTACGTTCTAAATAATTTATCCGTCAACGAAGCGTTTACAAATTTTATTAATAGCTTACTTTGATCAGATATTGTTTTTTTACCATGACAACAAGTTTATTGTAGATAAATAGGTAATATTTAACCATCAACGCGGAACGTAATGGTCAATGTTAGGTATCGCTTCGTTAAGAGTGAATTCGATGTTAGTCATTCAAGTTTTCAAAAATCTTTATCAACTTATTCAACCGATTAATTATCGTCTCAAATATGTCCTTTCACAAACTGTATCATCAAAGTCAAAATTTACATATGCATGCTTTAAAATAGGAAGGAAATGAAATAGATTCGTTGTTTTTATAAATATAATGTTTACAATTCATAAATTATAATATTTACATCATTTGGAAGTAAAATAAATGTTGCATAAAAGAGAAATAGCTATGAGTATTTAAATGTTTAATTCTTTGCACATAAATATCCCACACAAACTTTCAGATATATTTCTCTTTAATACTCGTTATGCTTCACTGCATGATATTTTTTTTTATCTTTATTCGTTAGATGAATTATTAAATCTGACGTAGTCATTCGCTCACAAATGCATTACAGCAACCGTTACCATAATATTAAAATGATATTCAAAACCTCAAGATCTACGTTAAATCTCTCTTATTCCAACAAGTCACCTCCCAAAAATATCCGAAATACGATTATAATTCATACAATTCTCTGCAATTACGGGACTTAATGACATTGTTATAACTTTTAAATACTAATATGACTTTTTTTACAAACACACATTTTGCATACATCATTGTATAATGATTCCCTTCCTATAGCACTGTGAACAAAATGGACTGCCGAATTTAAGAGGGGCAGGAAAAGCATTGGAGATGATTGCGGCCTGGGCGGCTAAAAGAGGCCACCGTTGAAACTGCCGAAGCTGTGCACGATCTGGTCATGTGCGACAGAAGGCGAGACCTGCGAAGCATTGCTAGGGAAGTGGGTATAAGCTTTGGTTCAGTTCCGACAATTCTGATTGATCTCTATGGCATGTCAAAGGTTTCCGCTACATGGGTCCCCAGACAGTTGACTGACGACCAGAAACGGACCAGGCTTGACAATTCAAGATATATTTTGTCTCGCGAAGAGGATTAACCTGATTTTATCTACCGGATCATAACTCAGGATGAAACATGGCTCCATCACTTCTATCCAAAATCCAAAAAACAGAGCAGAACAAACTAGGTCACAGAGTTTTAAATTTAAAAAATCTGTTGTGAATATAAATATCCTGCAAAAGGGAGATTAGTCAAATCAATGAAGACAAAAAAAAAAAAAAACATGTAGGTGAAAAATTGCACACATACTCGGTTAGATTGACTCAGTGCTAATATGAAAACTTGTTATATCAACACAAAAATAGCGATAAACCGGCATAGGCAATAGGCATTGTAACACCGCACTTTTGGGTCAAACGCACTTTGGGGTCTAACCCCAAAATACGTTACGCACTTTGGGGTCCAATTTTGATCCCAAAGTGAGTAACACAGGTACATTTTAACATCAGACAAACGACCGCACTTTGAAGTCATAAAAATGAATTTTCATGACGTTTTAAAGTCAAAGCCAATGGTAAACAAAAATCAAGGTATCAAATAGACGAATTGCAAAAAATCGGATAACAATAGAAGATTATAGTTAATTTTATTTTGTTAAATATATCGGTTACAATTGATTATATCTTAATATTCAATTATGTATCTCAAAGAATAATGTGGCCTGAATTATAATAGAATCAATTTTACTGGGCGACCTTAATAAAACAATATCAAAAACTATTTAAGTTGTCACACATTAAAAGCGGAACTTTATAATAATGTAAAGTTTTAACTGCGAGGTCTAAAGGGGATGGTGGGCTGTCGACCCCCACCCCTCCCCCTCCGAGATTATAAGAAGTTTTAAAGGTCCATTATGCCTTTAGTTGTATTTCTCAAAAGCTTTTTAATTTCGGTGCGTTTATATAGTATCCAAAACGTTACTCATTGGCCAATAAGTTTGACGCTTGTTTTCTGGGATTTATTCCTGATATATTCAGACTTTTGCAAAAGTATACTCTGTCCCATGTACTCCAGATCTATTTAAATGAAGGGACAATTCCTTCGAAATATGTGTGGAAGCGAACATTGTTACAACATGTAATTAACCCTGATGTTCAAAACATATATCTAAGACTTGTAGAACAAGATAAATTTGCGTTATTGTGCGAAATATTGAAACCGAACAGTCATTGCTTATTATGGCAAACTGTTAGAGGAATTTCAAATATGACAATGCTCTGTAATATTGATAGCTATCACTGGAAAAATATACTCTTCGAATTATTTACAGACGTGCTCAAAATGTTCATGTGTGTCAGATGATATTATTGTACATTTTATTATCTTCTGTAATGCAAATGAAAATTTACGGAGTGTCATGTTAAATCGTTTCATCACAGTGTTTAGGCTACGTCTATTCGCAAATCTAAGGTCACAAACAATGTATTACTTTGCTCAGGCGGCAACAATTATATGTAATAACGCTTTCTTGAATTGTTGGCTAGTGAGGTATATTAATGCCATCTTACCCCAAACATTAAATTAGGTTCTTTAGTGAAATTATGTGACAGCCTATAATATAATATATTTTAGTTATTTTGTAATTGCGAATTATATTTTTAGCTTTGTCTTCTGTTTGCCTTAAGTCGTAGTTTTTGTAATTTTTGTTCTTATAAAGTTAGAGTTTACAATGTTCTCTGAGTGCACACAAGTAGTCTGATTTATCTTTGCGTCTGTATTATCATGCTTTAAAATTAACGATGTATGTTCATATAAACTTAAATGTCATAGTCACAATCAGATAAAACGATCTTGCATTTATAATTTTGCTATATTAAGTTTTTTTCCGATATACATTGTGTTTGTGGAAATATTTTCATATGAAGATACATCTTAGACATCCCATCCTTTTGCTGCGCAGCTTAATGTTTTCGTTTCCTACTTAAGCAGACTGCTGTTGGTATTACTATATTGATGCTTTTTTTCAGTCGATTAAGTCTCTAGCTTCCCAGTCCATTCTTGGATTTGTTGCTGAATCCATCTTTTGACCATGGTTATAAATCCAAAAAACATATTTAATTTCTGTTATTGTAATTAGTATTATAAATAATTAAATCCTTTTATTCTGACACCATGTTTTATGTTTAGTTTAGTTTGGTGTGGATGCAGAGAATACGAGATGTTGATACTATGAGTTTATTTCTAAGACTGTTTTACAATATGTAGTCAATTGGTCAGTACACTAAGTAGGCGGAGCCTAACAATCAAGTTTA